GGGTTTTCACACGAGCCCATGTGGGTATGCCTTTTCGTGTACTTTCACGTAGCATGGCTCGCGGGTACGATGTGGTTGTTCTGCCATTCGTTCCTTGCGTTATCCTAGGTCATGATCATCAAGAACCTCAAGAAATATTTCACCTTCGAGGCCGGTGAGTCAAAGCTGGCAGAAATCGCCTTTTCCGATACCCCAAGCATTTTGCAATCACGGTTCCAAGTCGTGCAATCAGTGCAGGTGACGGTGCTGGACGACAAGGAGGTGCGTCGACGATTCCGTGCCTCCAACTACCAGAGCACCACCAGGCCTGGATTTGGCAGAGTATTCAGCAGGTCCGCGCGTGGATTGTTGGATTTTCGCCATCCCTGTGAGGGTGAAGCCCTTCATTTGCACCATGCCGATGAGGTTGGACGAAGGTTGCTTCGAGAGGGATTGCCATCCTTTCGCTAGGGTTCCATGTGTCTGTGGCCTTTTGCAGATTGTGAGCTGTAAGTCCAACAGTGAAGCTTGAGCCCAGGCTGGAATCAGATGCTTGTCTGAAGCATGCAGGGTTTTTGGATGTGGTGATGTGTGACACGGTGTGATTTCTTAGCTTGCGGGGACTCTGCAAGAGTTCCCATAGCTTCCATGTTCATGCGATTGCATGATTCCACCCAGGATTCAGTTCAATCTCTCTGACTTCACGCGCCGTGCCTATGGTACCAACTACATCGAGACCCTCCGTGTGCAGCTGCATGCAAACTGCCGTATCTCTTCTGGCATGTTTGTAATGAACCGGCTGCTGCAATCAGGCTGCGCCAAGTGTTGGTTGACTTGTGTTGCCAGGCATTCGCCGCATCTACTTCAGCGACCGCCTGTACAGCGAGGAAGAGCTGCCTCCAGAATTCAAGCTTTTCCTTCCCGCAGCCCCGCAGCAGATTACCAATTTTTCCTTACCGTTGCATCTCAGAAAGGCGCATGATTTGTCTGTGGGCAACTCCTGCAGGTGGCACAGAAGGCGCAAGCTCAGGCACAAGCACAGCAAGCACCAGCTCCAGCCTAGAAAAGTGAGAGCTCCCTTATCAGGGGCGAAGGGCCTCGAACTCAAGAGCCATCCGCATTTCACTGGATGTGACGTCATTTTGGCCACATCCCAGAAGTTCGTTCTGCAGAATGCAGATGATTTAGGCAAATGTCCTCAACATGGCATTACCTTACCATCAGCCCCAAGATGTAAGTTGTTAGGTCTTGATTGTGTCATGCCTCTCGAATTGCCACTACCTGGCACCGGCTTGCTGAATCAACAGCGAGCCACGCATGCTGTGATGAACTGCGCCTTGCCGAGTGACTGGACAAGCACAAAAGTCATGCAAGCGGTGCAGAATCGAGCAACAAGTGTTTTTGGCTTGCCTGCAGGTGGCCTGACTCCTGTGGTGTCGATGGCTGCAGAGACAGCTGTGCTTCTCCCAGATGGCACTGCAAGTCTGAATGTCTCAGGCCAGGAAGTTTGTGCTGCCCTCTCCATTTGATGTGAAGCATGCAATGGAGCAGGCCGCCAGCTTAACATCACGCAGCATGTGCCCCTGAGCCCGCTGCAGCTCCGCGCCAAGACTGCTTGGCAGGCATCGCGGAAGGACTGTAGACACTGGAGACATTCGTCGGCAACTAGCTTGTGCTTCGAAGGTGGCGGGCGCTGCCACAGGATTCGTTGCTTACAACGGAAGCGGTCTTGGGCAGCTGCAGCGCTGGCCTCACAGCTGTGTTTCTGTGCTTGCTGCGTGCACGCGAGCGCTGGCACCTTCTTTTTGCAGTGCTTCTTTGGTTCAAGGCACCTAGCCGCCAAATCTTCTCCTGGAACCTTGAATGTCGAGCCAACAGGTCTACTATTCCATTGATTCCATGGTGACTCATGTAGACGGGTAGTTGCCAGTCGTGCATGGAACCCAAGTCCCACCGTCCAAACTCAGTTGCACTTCAGGAATGGGTGGAAATCGCCTTGTAGGTGTGTGTGTGTGTGTAGTGTCATGGCTTTGACTCCAATACGAATTACGGCCGTGCGGCATTCCGCATTCTATTCGCCGCTTCTGTACACCATCAACAGTGGTTTGCTGCAATCGCAGGGGTTGCAACCGCACTATAAGCCCAGCACTCCGGACAACCCGGCCATGGAGCAGGCGAGGAAGGGCACAGGGTACAGCATGAAATGATGCAAGCTACGACAGGGGAACGCCGATGGACGTTGAAGGGAGGCCAATTGAGGCAGCCGCTCCAAGCCTCCAGACCTTGCATTTGATACCAGGTGAGGAATGGCACAGCACACCTGTCACAATTGGCCGTTGCGGGCAGCTTCGCTGAGCTGGAAAAGGGCACAAAGAAACCGGACACGGTCCATTTCGCTCAAATCAATGCATCTTGTCCACCAAATATCTATCAGCAGGGATACGTATACCGAGGGTTGGGAACAAGCTGGTGCAAGGCACGCGATGGATTTTTCCTTTGTCGGCGTGGCCAGAGGGCAGACTTCCAGTGGCAGGAGTTGGAGCACAAGCAGGCCTGGGCCAGCGAACCAATCAGACCAATCATGACCAATCATCATCAACAAGAGAAGTTTTATTGTTAGCGCAGGGTCTGCTAAGAGGTTGCCACACCTCGAGTGTTCCTACAGCCGACTGTTTTGATGCCGAGGGGTGGTGGCCCTCCATACACTTACAACTTCTTACATTCTTACAGTGTACCTTGCAGTATCATGTGCAAATGGGCACTTGGCGAAGCAACATTTGAGCAGCCTTTGCCTGCCCGGCGTTCAAGTGGCTCTGCGGGACAGCTCTGCCGGAACAAACTTGGGCTTGAGAAGATGCAGGATAGGGGGAGCCCCAAGTCGTCTTCCAGTATTAGCTTCAACAAGCAGAGTTGCATGCTGTGGGGGGGGGGGAAGGGATAATAATTGGGCTCAAGCAGACATCAGTGATGATCCGAGTGTCTCTAGACATGATGTGGTCACTAGTCCTTTTGGAATTAAATTAGACACAGCTTTCACCTATACTTCGGCAGCAGTGAACCGCACACGTCGCGGAATGCGATGAACCCTTTGGTAAAGACTACGTTTGTTTTGCAATCGCCAGTCGGACCTATCGGCATGCGTCTCTTTGCTCTTCTCATCGTCCTTGACCCGCTGAAGCGCTGTACGATGGTCGGAACGTTGCTTCAGCACAATCTCTTCATCAAAAAGAGGATACTCCATCATACTTCCCTGCCTTGAGACACTCTCGCAATCGGCTAACATCCATTGACTTGGTCAAGCAAGCTCCATGAGCCACCCATCTGAACTTGCAATAAATCGTAGTTGCAAAGGTAGAGTCACACTGGAGTTCTTTTTTAAATTACTGCAGTTTCTGATAGTGGATTTAGCTGGCAGGCTGTGGGGATTTTGGGTCATGTAAGTTTCATAGCGTTGGCGTATACCACGCATGCAAGCCCTGAAGGGGTCTACATGATGAGCTGGAAGTAAACTCTCCCGATTGCGTAGCATGCGGGTCAGGACCTGGAGGGGCCTAATTGTGGGTCCCTTTTGCACTTGCGCTTTTTGCTCAGCAGGTGCTGATCGACCATCTCTTCCAACCCTTGGCTTTGATGAAGTATGCCTGTCACCTCAAGTGGCTTACCTGAGATCCGTCAAACGCACATGTTTTTACCTGCTCTGCAGTAGGAATCATTATGCAGTGCTGCATTCATGTCCGAAAGTAGGCATGCCATGGTGGAAGCCAACACGATCCAAAGTGGCACCATCCAATAACAAGAGACGGCTGGTGCTAAGGAGAGTCGATTTTTCAACTATCCGAGTGGTGGATGCAGGCAAGAGGTAAAGCAAAGACAGCATGATGCTTGTAGAGTCTCATTCCTGGAGTGCACATTAGGCGACCCCGGGTCCATGGAGCAAGCGTTCAGAGATGGTCGTGGTGACTTCGTTCATTTGCAAGGGCCGGCTGCACAGCTTCTTGAGCACGATGGTGTAGGTGAGGGCCGTCACGCAATCACAAAAGCACCAAAAACTCAGAATCTTGAAGCAGACCTCCTTCCAAGAATCACCAAAAACCAGAATCTTGAAGCAGACCTACTTCCAAGAATTTTGCGGAAGTTGCGGGCCAGTTTGCAGGTGTTGTGGTTGCTTCGTTGGGTGAAGCAATTGGGCCAATAGCATTCAGCTCGCTGTGTGCTCGCCGCGATTGGGTGGATTCGGACATGGCCAGAGCTTTCATGGCGGCTTATCGCCTCTTGTCAAGTGGTTCGTAAAAAGAGGGTTGTGCAGATGAGCAAGTCACCATAAGTTTCTTACTTTTGCCAGAAGTCAGGAGAAGGGTTCAAGACAACTGCAGAGGCAAAGGCAGCGGATGTGGCAAAGGTCGGGGGCCGATTTTGGCTCCTCTCCTGGGTTCTTTTTGCAGACAACCTTGCGCGTCCAAGTCTGCCCCGTGCTATCCACAGTTTCCACGTTATAAAACTAGCAGCATGGCTGTGCGCAAGGGTTTGCCTTTCAACCCATCTGTTTTTTCATATTGCTCCCTGCATCCAGTAGTTGCTTCTTGGAATCTTGCCGTGCTTTGGTCATGACCACCTGGAAACCATGCTGCAGCTGCACACTGTTTTTAGTGCCATAGCTGTCATTGTTGTGCGACGATGGCTCTTTGCGTCAGGTGGTGAAGCCGTTCTTCAGCGATATCAGCTGGAATGTATTGGTTTCCACCATCTCTAGCTACCAGCAAATGGGCTGCTGGGGAGGACAGGTAGGCATTCCTCCGGAAACGTTTGACAAGTTAGTGGACGCATTTCTCCATGCCGGCCTTATCACGAAGCGGCATTCTTACGATGCTGCAATTGTGCATGTTGCGGAGTGACCAGCTTCAATGCCAAGCGGATAAAGCTGGAAAAGGCTGCAACTACTAATGAGGTGCCGTTTGAATGCAAGCGGAGTTCTGCTTTTTGCCTGCATGATTCGGAGTGCAGAGCGATAATATGTCTCTTTCATCTTGACTTCCTGAGGCTGGATCAGATGCAGACGATGGGTTGCGGACTCTGCGAAACTTGAACGTGAGGGGCAGCATCGTGTGCCGTGTAACATGTGTAGACTGTCGATATTCCACCGGCTTGGCTGGCGCAATCAGCTGCCTGCAGCGCACGACGACAGGGTAAGCACCCAGCACTGCGGTTTTTACCGCAAGTTTTTGTTTGTGCAAGAACCTGGAGACTCAACGACAAGTACACATACGAGCACAGCGGATGCTTACTTCTACTTGCTGTTGTAATGGTTTGCAGTGTGTTTGCTGCTGGTTTTTGGGCTGGCTTTGTGCAGTTCCAATTTCTAGTGTTGGGCTACTCTCAAGACAGGTGACGCCCAACAATTCCTTAGAGTTTGCACTCTTATTATTCAATGTCAAAAGTAATCCTCGCATGTTGTCTTGGTTTTGGTCGAAAATTTCCGGTTTCTCTAAGGCTGTGCTTCGATTTTCTTGGTCTGCAGCTTAGCTGCCCTGCAATGCAGTAGGCATCCGGATTGTAATCCAGATGGCCAGGACCAGCAAGTTGCCTTGCCGGTCCAACTGCTTGAGGCTGCTTTCCTATCTTGCGAGTTTATCAGCCCCGTGCGTGACGCATGCAGGTACGGTGTGCCGCGCAACTGCAACATTTAGCCGTCCTGCTCCCAGCTTCCTTTCGAGGCACTGATACTCTCGGTTCAATGAAACCCGCAGGTGGAACTTCCTGGGCATGATCGAGAAGACTTAGAGAACCACATCTTGAAGGCAAAGAGTGTAGGGTGCCAGTGAGCTCAGAGTTCGTCTGGCTTGCAACCAGGGCACAATTTGCAGGGAGGTGCTAGACACTCCAATGCAGGATGAGGTATGTGATGGTTCTGTTTCGCCGGATGATTGTGGCCGTGCAGAAGAAAGAGTCAGAATGCCATGGAGACAAGACTCAGCAATGGGAATCAAACCGCAAAATCAATGCTGAAAAATGGATTGAAAGAGGGAAGACTCAGAACCACAGCTGCTCGCACAGGTACTAAGCCCAACTGGCTTTTCTACGAAACCTTGAAGCTGCGAGCTTGATCGGGTTACCTCAGCGTTCTTGGGAGCCTTCTACCAACACTCGGGAACAACCGGCGGGGAGTCGCGGAAGAGAGAAGCACTGCATCGCGCGCCCTTGTCTTTGGCTAGCAAGGCTGCTTGGCAAAAGGATCTTCTATGGGGATACCACACACACATCGCACACCATGAGTTTGTATACCGTTGATTCCAGGTGGCGGTCGGGTCAGCTTCCACCAAGTTTGGCATGTCGCTGTCTCATCTTCGCGTCTCCAAGTTCCACTCCTCCCGCACTGGTAGCCTGGCATGACGCAATATGACAATATGAACTCTTCTGGGATGAAATACCTCAGACCTCCGCAGCTACCGTCCGCGGGCCTTGCTAGGGCAAAAGCTCATCTCAGGACCTGTCAGTCAAGTCACTCTCCAGCAGCTTCATCTCCTGCACTTGTTAAACGCGCTTGCAGCGGGCTTCTGTTTTGCAATCAAGGAATCTTCAATTGGGTGATAGCAAATAATCAGCAACAGATCGCAAAGAGTTAATTGCATTGCGTCCAAGTTAGGGTGGGAACGAGAGTTGAGAGACCCTGCCACAAGGAACAAGGCATATCGAGGCTGATACCAGGATTGAATAGTGCGGACCCACTGCTCAAAAAAACATGGGGTTCAGAGGCTTAAGGCTTAGCTCTTTCTTCACTAAGCTGTTTGCCGAAGATGCTTTGGAGAAGGAGTGCAGTCCCAGCATCCCGGGAAATGAGAGTCATGCATGCAGGATTCCATTGATGTCGTCTGCAGCAAGCTATCAGGTAGATTTCCCAAACACTGCGATTGGAGATGAAACCTCACATACATTTGTGGGTCAAACACGGTCGACTACAACATGCATCGCCGCATTCAGTATAATGCACGTATAACCTTATCACACTAGAACTGTGAAGACGAACCGATCGCAAAATCAAAAAGCCGGATCAGGAACGGGAGAGGCTTCAACCGACTAAGTCAGTCTGGTTCCAGAATCTGGTAGCACACACATGTTGCAGGTGTGCTTGACGGTGCTCCAGCTTTTGGGCACCACGTTTGGCAACACTGCAGTGCAAGCTTTGGACGGCTTCATTTCGCAGAGAGGCCGCCCAGTCTCAGTTGCAACGGGCAAGCGCTTCTCCTTGAACAATTCAGTTTTGAGGTCTTCGGAGTGAAATTGTTGCGCAGAGTGTTTGCTTGGCAAGTTGCTTTGGAAGATGCAGGCGGCAAATCATTTGAGCCTGTTCCCCTTACTTGTACTGTTGTTCTCCGCGGCTGGAACGCAGGTAGCTGTAACTCTTTGCGGTATTTCTTTGTAGTCTTTAAGTGTCTGCGGTGTTCAAATGCAAGTCCCGCTTCCTGGGCATGTGCAACTTCAACACTCTCCCTCCGTCATGGCACGCTGCATGCCAAGTCATCGGAACCCTTCGCCCTCTTGCTTAGCTGTTTGCATGCATTTGGCACAGTCAATCTACTCATGCGGGTCTCCTGCCCGCCTGCTTTGCATGATGGCACTTCTTGGTAACAGGCCGCAGCATTGTGAATGAAATCCTGGAGCGGATGCTGTCCCAGCCGTACGCCGCCCGAGACATGACTTAGATTTAGGCTTCGTTTTGTTCCATGGGCTCATGAGCGCCGCGCAGTTGCTGGTCCAGGTCTGCATGTCCTGCTTCAAATTATTCATCTGGAGAGATAGGTGCCTTGTAACTATCCTTGCTGTGGTGCAGTTTTTTCGGTGTTGTCTTTTGCGAACAGGTTCTATCGCCCTGCCGTCTAGCTGGGGATCTGGGGTTTGTCTTTCAATCATGGCGCTGCTTTTCATCGCCGCGCACCAAGACTTCTGTTGATGGTGCTACAGGTTGGCACAGACCGTTGCAGTTGTTGTGCAGCCAGGCCTACCTTTGGCCTGTGCTGTCTCATTGTGCCATGTTGCGGCCTCGTTATGACGTGCATCAAGTGCTTGAATGTGCAGCTAATTATCCTGCTTTTCACTTCGTACTGCACTTGTGTTTGAGTCTTCTCTCTATCCACGCCGGGAACAGCTTGTTTCTGACAGGTGCATGCATTTTCTCTCCATGCAGTGGCTTTTTTCATAAACCCACTCACTGAAGCCAAGTGAAGCCACGACACTTGAAGAGGCCAGCAAAGTCAAGATCGCTTACCATGGGCGCACAGTCGATCTCATAGTGGGGTACAAACAGTTGGCGAGTGAGAGATGCAACGAATCACCGTTAGAGGCAACGCCCAAAGTATTGCTGTTGCTCTTTACTCTGCAGTTGTGAGCATTGTTGTTCTTCAAGGCAAGACTCCCTAGACGAACTGTGAGGGACGATCGGCGCCGGGTGGAGCAGTCATGGTTTTCTCATTTCTGGCACGGGGGCTATGGTCGCGTGTATGCAGATTATGCAGAAGCAGCTATTTTGGTGTATTACATCCACAGACAGCTGAAAGTCAATGATGAATGATAAAATCATGAGTTCGTCTTTATGAAGATAAAGTTTTACTCATCCCTGCAGTCCTACTTTTCCTAATGCCTGATGTCACAATTTTACCCGGATTCCGCAGACTCCAAGGATCGTTTGACACAATCCCAATGATTTATCCCTTTCCAAAGTGTCCTCATGATGCCATACATTCATAAAGTTGTCAATATCTCCACGCATCCCACGTGTCTTACTATGTCTCATGTCTGCATATTCCCAGAGCCCCTGTTCCTTTTTATTGGGTACACCTTCGAACTTGCAGTATTCTAGATTCTAGACGTTTCATACATGCGCGGCAATAGTTTCTGTATGGTAAAACTATTGTCCGGTGCATGAGTTCACCAAAGAAAACAGCGCCCAGCCTTGTGACGTAGGCCAGCAGCCTACTTCAACAAGCATCACAGAATGCTTTGAACGACAGTTTTCCAGCAACTTCTCTACGCAGGCTAAGGCTTGTGTTATGACATTCCGCAGAAGTGCTTGAATCCCTTCGCATCATGTGTCAGCAGCTCTCAGCCCATCCACTCTCTGTGTCCAAGCCTGAGGATCAATATATGAGTAGTGCTTGGTCCCGACTCGTGTCGGGAGCCTTAATTGTGCCAAGATTCGCCGATTTTATTCAGCACCCCCCAGGTTCGTTTGGGGGGCCTTGATTGTGCGAAGCTGCCCAGCCAAAAAAAACAATTCTGAGAATATGTGACTAGAATAAATTAACCGAATTTGCTTTGTAAAGCATAGCAGGCAGTAAGTATTTAGTTTAGGGTCCTAATGCAAGCTGCCCTTTGTTACTTAGACTAGAACCCCGAACCCCTTGTCCAGAGCTTCCAGAACCTCAAACCTCCGGATTTGGAGGACCTCAACACTCCAGATTTTAAGGTTCCAGGCCAGGTCCAAAACTATAGATTTCTTATGAGTCCGCTTATCCAAGGAGGCCTCGCAATCATTTTTCCTAAGGGGTATGTAGTCCAGCAGCTGCCCAGGGCCTCAATAATACCAATGTTTTGGGGGGTTTCAATTATGCGTCAAATCGGGGGACCTTGAAAATAGCAGAAAGCAAAAACCTGTTGCTTTCAAAGGCTCAGCATTTAAAAGCAAAGCTTCCCGGACCTCAAGTTTGCGGATTTTCAAACAACATAACTCCGGATTTTAAGGTTCCAGGCCAGGTCCAAAAGTATAGACTTGTTATGAGACCGCTTTTTCAAGGAGGCGTAGCAATCATTTTTCCCAAGGGGTAGTCCGTCAGCTGCCCAGGCCTCAATAAGTCAAATGTTTTGGAGGGTTTCAATTATCCGTCAAATCGGGGGACCCTAGAAACAGCAGAAAGCAAAAACCTGTTGCTTTTAAAGGCGCAGAATAATGCCTTCCGAAACCCTTCTGATCTATTACCGAAGCCGATCCTGACCCTTCCTACTGAATGTAATTTAAACCTAGGATCCGAGCCGATCCTGATCCATCTTATTGAATTTCATTAAAACCTAGGATCTTATGCGATCCTCATCCCTCTATTGATTTTCATGAAAACCTCGGATCCGAGCCGATCCTGATCACTTCTATTGAATTTAACGTAGACCTAAGACTTGAGCCGATCCTGATCACTTCTATTGAATTTAACGTAGACCTAAGACCTGAGCCGATCCTGATCCCTCCTACTGAATTTTCTTAAAACCTAGGATCCAAGCATGACACTGACAATCAGCCAGTGACTCTGGAAGCGCAACGCAAAAGGCAAGCGGCTAGAGTTTTTCCTTGCTCGCGGTAGCAGCAGATCTCGGGCCTGAGACCAATCCAAGAGCCTATGGCTGCACGAACTAGTTTATGACTAATCTGAAGCTAGCGTAGCAAAATGCTTGCAAGGAGCTCCTGGATTCGAAGAAGCTGCATGCAAGATCGCTGAATGGAGTGAATACGTCAACAGGCTTTAGAAAGCGCACACCCCAAAACCTATACAGGTAGTGCAGCGATCGCGTGAACTAGGAGAGAACAGCTACCAAGTCAGTCTTCAAAGAGGGCTCAAGGGCTCTACGCCTCTTAGCGATCATGAAAGCACCAGGATGGCGAAGTCGCCACACACCGCAACTTCTTGGGGATGTCCTGCTTCGCGGCCTTCGTGAGGCCATCGGCCAGCTGGTGGTCGCTGTCGCGCCAGTTCAGCTGCGTTTTCTGAGCCGGAAGGTTGTTGCCCACTCCCATCAATTCCGAGTACGTGTACTTGTCCTTCACATTGAAGGCTGCCATTCCCGGATCTGTTTTTTCCAAAGCATCGAAGACACCGCGAGCGTCGCTGAGGAGATGTCAAGGTACATGCTGAGTGGTTTCATGTAACTTCCGAACATCCCCGGAGCTACTTTTCATCTCGAACCATGCAAGCCTGGTGAACATCAACTCTTGTTAGCAGTGGCTCAACACTTGAGCTTCCGCGGATAGGGAGGACCGCGCCACTCTTGGTAGTTTGAAGCTTCGCCATGCAAACGCATTCAGCTTGCCGAAGCCGTTTAAAACTGCCATGGGGTGCACGATTGCCACCAGGAACCCGCCGGTGCTGGAGCCATCCAAGCGGTTGGCCAAGGAAGCGTCAGACCGGCCACAAACACAGCCTGCTTCGTGTCCATGGAACCCAATTTGGCCACCTGAACACCCACGTTGCGAGCTGCCCGGATCTCGCGAACGAACTTGTTCTGTTAATCTGTTCGGTGCAGGCGTCGCCTCCTGAAGCAAGAAGTGACTGCAGATAGCCCAGCTTGGCCGCGTGCTGCGGCCCCACTCTGCCTTCGAGCGGAGCAGGGTTTCAGGGCGACGTCTACTTATGGGCCCATCGCCCCCCACACCTGCAACACCTCCAGCAGAACCTAGCACAGGGACTCACGCAGAAAAACTTGCAAACGCGCGCAAGCAAAACCAAAGATGTGCGCGCCGGAATGGGGAGCACACTCTCATGGTTGAAGACGAGCAATTTCAGGGGCTCGCCATGTGGCACAGTCGCTAGGCGCCGGTAGTGGTAAAGGAAGAGGTAGCAACCATTCTGGGGGGAATCTCTGAAAGAGCCAGAAAGCATTCGCAGCGCGCAAAAAGATGTCGGCAGGGCCGGGTAACGCTCCAAGCGTACACAAGATTCATCGCACCAGCAAGTTGTGGGGATAAGGGGCAATGCGCCCCCAAGAACCTCTGCTCAAAGGAGCGAACAGCGTGCAGCTCCTACAACTACGACAGTACGCCGTACCCCAACGTAAAGCACTGGAGCCGTGGGTGGAATGGTGCCAGAGTTCCTTGAGAATGGCCAGGACGGTCATGGCAACTAGACCAGAGTTCAGATAGAGCAACATCGTACTCAAGGCCTTGTTTGGACACCGAGCTGAATGAGCAACAGGCCGAGCGTGACACACAAAGAGGCAATCCACACATGGACATGTCCGAAGCCCATCAACACGCAGCCACCATTGACCGACGCCTCGCGCCACAGCCCGCCGCCGCACCGAAACAGCAGACCAAAGCAGCCAAGCAAACAAGCAATGACACCGTCGCTCGACAGACAGAGGACAACGAAACAGGAAAATCCAGCGAGAATGATATCCACATGTTGCAGCGTGCCAACACATGTTCAGTTTGTTGCAGCGCTTGATGATGGCAGATGGCGCCTCACCTCGCGTGCCAAGCATGCATTGCAAGGGTCAGTCCTGTAACAGTGCCCAAGCAAACATCTGAAACACTACATCAGGAATGCAGCAGCTCAAGTGCGGCAATGACAGGTTGACGCAAAACCTGTCACTAAGTATAGTCATGTCGTGACAATGAAGGACAAGACAGCTAGTGTGAAGCGTCACTACACAAGCCGCAGCCCTACCTGCCTTGCGCCGAGCCAAGAGCGAAACAGAGTAGCGAAGCTGAGCCTGACAGGAGGACAAACCAGTGATCACAGCACACAGCCAGGAGAGCTCGACCAAAACTTGTGCGTAGGCAGCCGACCTGATCCCAGACTGCGTCCGCCGAAGTAGTTGCGGTCGTAAGAGGTGATGTCTATGGCGCCCCTGTTCTTCCTGCTGGCAATGATGCTGACCCAGACATGGCAGGTCGAACCAAGGAAGCCGGCGAAGCCGCAGAAACAATCGGAACTGGAAAAAATTGGCAGAGACCACGGACCAATTTGCTCGTGTGAAGACAGCGTTGTGGAGATGGCTGACAGCACCAAGAGCAAGACCGCTCTCGCGACCCGGCAAACATGAAGAGAGACCAAGGAGCACAGCCAGGAGAGCAAGAGGTTGCTGCCCACATTGCCCAACAGACGCCCAACAAGCGCCGGGCCCAGGAGAGCAGCTAGCAGTTCGCAGCATGTGCGGATAGGTGAGGCAAACGAGAAGCTGGCAGATGCGCTTGCAGAGGCCGCGAATGAGGCAGAGGAGCGCCCGGAAGAGCTGCCAACATCACCAACAATGCCAAAATGCTGCCTGCTA